ACAAGAAAACAATAACAAGAGTGAAGAAAAATAAATGACAATTATAGAGTTTTCCTGAGTATTTATGTATGTTTTAGTCATTTCGAAACAAAGTTTTCTCATAAGGAGATTCATCATTTAATTCATTAGGATATTGTGTATTTCTAGGAATGAAGACGTATTTTTTCATTGTTTTTGATACCGAATATAAATGATGACTGGAAAACGTACAGCTTTGTCAAATTACTCTTCTTCACGAAAATATCATGATAAAAGTTTTTAATTATTCCAAAAATATTATTAACTTACTTCTTTTAATACTCCTGACATGAAAACTTTATTTCATATTGAATAATTTTTACTTATTTGCAAACTGATTGTTGGGAGACCAGCAAGAAGTGGCAAATCTCATATTCGTACTAATTATGAAACCTGAGTTTCAAAATTATTTAAAATATCAACTCTGCAAAATGTTGAAAATTTCCATTGATAATTAAAATGTTAATCAATCATTTCAATGTATCTCTTTTGAGTAAAAACAGTTTTTCAACGGAAAATACTACTTGAACTTTAATCACCGGAAAAAAATGATCTAAACCTCTTATATTAGAATATAAATCTTTCGCCCAGTATATTTGATCACCTCATCATTCATAAAGCATATATAGATACAGTTTCCCTTTACTGCTGTCTTCTTTTGTCTCGAATCATAGATTGATCATATCTGTAGATATACATGGATAGAATCAAAGAGATTCTTCTATTCTTAAGGAAAGAACTTTTCATTTAACATACAAAGTTATGATACTTGATTGGATCTCAGAAATATATGCCATCTTCTAACAAGTAAACTTGGTTTTTAGTTCTTATAATTAAGATTGTCTGAAGACTATGTGAGAAGTATTTTCGATAAACACAATATATAAACTTATTCTACAAAAAAAACTGACTAATCATGAGCAATAATATCACTGATGTATTGTAGCATGATGACGTCCTAATACGAGTTTCAACCGTAACTGTGACTTTGGTGCTTCAAAAAAACTGAAATAAATATTTTAATTTTAAGTAAAGATTAGTGAAGAAGAATATTTTATTGTATGTTAGAAAGAAACCACATAATTTCATGATAAGACTAGACTGAAGTACGCAAACTATGGTGGTGCTGCATAACAAAATGCAAGGTTCTGAATAGAAAACAGAAAGCAGAATTAATGGTTTCCTTTCCAGCAGAACAGAACTGAATTTCTCTATGTATTTCAAGCTTTTAAATTAATTGATTCAGCTTCATTTGAGAACTTTTCAGTTTGAATCGATTTAATTTAAAGAAAACATCACATGATTGAATTTTTAACTATTGTCTCTAAAGACAATTTGATCGAGTACCCGTTAAAGCTTAAACAATGCAAGTCTTCTATGGTATTGCTTTAAATAGAGTAATAGATTCTTTTTTGCTAACATATACTTGAAAGTTAATAATTCATGTTCATCTCAAAAGAAATCTATTCATCAATTTTCTTGAAGCACGAGTGTCAGACAAATGATCGAACTTTGTTTTAGATCATCATCTCGCTACAGTATGTTATAGTGATATTGTATCTCATATGCTCTATTGAAAAAAGAAAGGTCTTCCTTATGGAAAGATGTGACGTTCCATATTAAGAAAATAAAGCTTAACTCTGCGCAACAAATAGACTGATGTTCTAAGATACAAAAAATGTAATTAACATTAGGTAAAATGCAGCATTTTAAGATCTTAGACAGCCCTCGAGAACCACACTTGCACGCATATGAAATATTAGATTGATTAAAACATATGATCATTACTGCTCATTATCAGTAGAACGTAGCAGAATTATTAACGGACCACCTGTTCATGTTCCGACCTGACCTCGAAGGAAATTTGATTTACAAAGATTTTTCCCAATACAATTCAGAGATTACTTCGGTAATAATCGATGCACTTCAGAGTAAATAACTGATGTTATTTTGAGTTTCGATCAATCTGGATTGTCAAAATTGAAATAAAATCAATATGACATAAGTTAATTTGCTTGTTGAGTCAAACAAACAAAATATATTGTAAGATATTTGAACTCAATAACGATCATTATACATAACTCGATGTCTTATGTTACAATTTCTTTTTGCGGGTAAATTCATGAAAAGTGTTTGTCGATATTGACCATCTAGTAAATTAGCACGCAGTCGAAAATACCTTTTGAACGGAAGAGAAAATATGTTTTAATGCTTAAACTTTCAAAATGAACCTCTCAATCTTAGATATTAAAACCATTTTTCTATCCACTCACCGAGTATCTTCTACTGCGTGCTAACACACCGAATGGTCGAATTCGACAAAATGTTTGCCTTTAGAAAATGACACAAAGTCCATAAGATTACTTGTTTTTCATATTGCGATAATTAATATAGTCTATGCACTACAGAACATTTCTTGTAGACGAGAGATATGCCTGGTCTATTGGCCCTTCTCACAATAGATTTACCACTTACTAAACGGAATTTACAGCTTATTTATGGCCCATTTACAGTCTTCAGGAGAATACTTATGACTACTCTAATAGAAGTGATAGAGAACATTCCGAGTCGTTTTAAAATAAATTCAATATTAGTGTCCATTTTTTTATTAAAAAATTTCGAAAATCCCTTCTGTTCATTGTAGAAACCGAAAAAGTGATCTCACGGCAATATATCTAGTTTTTCTCAACATGCAAATCAATCGCTAAAAAACTGATCAAACAAAAGTTCACTATCATTTAGATCTTTAAAAGAACAACAATATTCGTGATATGCTAAACCAGATGGAAAAAAGTTTCATTTTAAGTGATGAAAAATCATGTTCTGAGAAACAGAATAAAAAAGTTTAGAAATCAATTATTTTCATTCAAATTCAGGAAAAAAAAACATTCAAAAGTCATATTCTACTTGCCAGTGGGACTTTTTAAAGTATGTAACAAATGATGTAAACTGCCACCATCGATCATGCATTAATAAATATAATGATTTATTCAATACTGCTACAAATAAAAGGTAAGGTTTCCAAAACTGAAAGATTATTTCGAGACTTCGAAAGTTTCTCAAAAAAAACCCTATGGTAGGGTCAAAATTTGGTTCAAAAGTCTGTTAAAATTTGACCATTTTCCAAAAAGCTATATATATTCTGGAAGAAAAAACTTCACTGCATCTTTCTAAGAAAAAAAGTCAATTGCGAGTGTTTTTTGAAAAATATAGATTTTCTAACAGCGGTTTAAGCAATTAATATAGTTAATTATATTAGTCGCACTTGAAACTCACATACTTGTTCTATTGTAAAACTGTTTTTGATAATTTTTAGCATTTAAACCAAGCATACAGTTGAGTGTGGAAATCAATGTTACTCACAGAAACGATATCACTTACACTTACACCTATCTCATTCGACTCAATTCCCAAAAGATTTCATACGGTAAAGCGCTAAAACATCATTAACAAAAGAGCCTCTTACATTACTTCTCCAAACACCATGGCTACTTGTTAACTGAGAATCGCTGGTTTTCAGCTACAATCATAAGTGATTTCACAAAAAGAATTGAACAAGATACGAAAAATATTATGGGATACATTTCGAGCTGACGGCATTTTCATATAAGTTATAATAATGTTTTATTTTTCGTAGTTTCGTATGATATTCAAAATCTGTGAAACCGTTCAACTACAAGTATATGAGCTTGACAAAAGAAAGATTTCGAATCTAAGGATTTCTTTTTCTGTTCTTGTCTGTCTTCAAATACCAACAACCATTTCTTTTTTCTATGAATAGCTTCATACAGATTTAACCCTTAAGAGCCCAATGTCCCTTCCAAGGGACATTAGAATAATTTCAATAAATTCTACTACAAGAGCTTATATGCAAAAACCAACATTTTTCTGATCTGACATGACCTTAGTAATCACACAGAGATGAAAATATAATTCTTAAGTGACTCCTAAGCCGAACAATGAATCTTTTGCGACTCGTAATTTTTTTAGCATCACTTTTCTTTTCTGAAATTTTTTTTATTCATATAAGCGACGTGCAGTTTTGATTTCTTTTAAGTGATATTATTAAACATAGTGTTAAGGTATCTGATAAAACCATTACATAAATTTCAAACCATTCCACTAACGCAGAACAGTATCATAAAGAAAATATTCCTTCTATGGGATATATTGCCTTAAGAAAAAATCGAAACAAAGGGATTTTGATTTGAAATTTTGCTCATCAATAGCTGATACGCTATTTAGATTACCCTGAAATTTCCAGCAACAACTGATGTTTACTCTTGGAAATACAGTATGTTGAAGAAAAGCCGGATTTTATGAGTTTTTTGCAAAATGTTGCCGATTTTTTTCAGTCTCCAATATCTCAACAACAAAGCATCCGTTTTGACTGAAAATTTCAGGATAATTTAAGGATCATATAAACTAATTATGGGCGACATTTTAGATGAAAATTCTTTTCCTTCAAGTTTTTGAAAGATCCAAGATTTCTGGTGATGGACATTGTGTAACTCTAGAGGAAGAACAAGGTATTTCGTTTTAGCTATACTATAAGCGTACTGAGGGTCCATCAGCTCTATTTTTATGGTTGTCTTCCGTCTGTTGCAAGAAAAACTCCCTTGGGCTTTTATGGGTTAAATCAATTATTCATATTTTCACAGACAATACAGAGTGGGATAGTATACAATCAATGTTCACATTTATGGAGAAACATCGCTAGAAGAACTATATTATGAATGAAAAGTGGTAAATAATCGTATCATTCGCGTGTAAGTACAAGCTTACTCATCCTTTCTATGTCATGCGTACACATAAGAAACAAGAGCGAAATAAAAATGAGTTTGGAAAATCGTAGTTGTGGAGAATTTTCTTATGAAAGCATGGATGTCGACCTTGTCTTCGCCTATTCACATATTCACTTACTCAAAAATGAGTATGAACTAGCTAATCTGTTCACGATTCTAATCTGAACTTTCTCACATTCAAAATGAATCATTACCTGAAGATGTCTTTGAAGGAAGTACAGGAACGGGTTCAAGTAATGGATACGTTGGATCTATTTCTTTAATGTGTATTATATGAAGTCCATTACCAGAATTGAGACAGGATTTAACTTCAAATTGTCTGGCTGGAAGCAAAAGAATTTCATCTTCCTTAGACAAAAATGAATGATTTTTAATATTCTTTCCCGTATGGCAATCGATTTGAAATAAAGTACGGGTTCCAGCTGTGCCTAAGAACATTTCAGATTCCAACACTTTGATGGATGAGGTACAAGACGAAAATCCCCACCAAATAAAAGTGCTTCCTTCCGGATATTCTGCGTGTAAGTCTTTTCGGACTCCTCGATTAACGAAAAGCCGATCGGATGGCAGGCGTGCCAGTGCTGTCAATACAAGTCGTAAATACAAAAACCAAGGGATTATTTTTTGTCTTTCTTCGGAACGTAATGTTTCGTTGAGAATGGCATAGAGAGAGTGTTCGTGAGGCATTGATTCGTACGTATAGAGCATAATCGAAGCAGATTCATCAGTTGTTAAGCCATCGTTTGGGTGTTTACAGTTCTGCTTGACGATGTGTACATTACGTTGAACTTTTGGTACTATGCTAACGAGAGGTTTTATTGCATCTTCAATTGATACAAGTGGCGTGTTTTCGTAGCCTTCAATAGGTGCTAGCATTTGCTGTGGTAATGAACTGAAATCGGCGACGCGGAGAGACATTGATTTATCACCATTGTTGCTATCCATTTGAAAGTTGATAATCTATAAAAAATAGATTTTATTTTTCAAAAATATACTGTAATCAAACTATTTTCGAGCTAATCTCTTCAACGTTATCTGAATTATTTACAAGACTCGATTGTTCAATGTGATATTGCGACGCCTCTGAAGAAAGAGGAAATTTTAGCGATATAAGAAGCAAAGTTTTTGGAACTTGTATGGAGTTATGAATTTCTGAAATTTCCATTTTCTTCTTTTTCTTTTTTAAAAGTATCGACATACTTCATACTTACAGTACAATTAGAGTGTGGGTGTGGGTGTGAACATGGTGTTGGTGGATGTGGATGTCAGAGATGGAACTGGTGCCCGTAATCGGCCGATCCGGTCCTGTCCGAACCGAATTTTGGATCGACCGGTCTAAACAGGTCTCACCGGTCGAAACCGCCTTATACCGGTCTAAATTTTTCACTTTCCTGCTCTTTGGTGGTATTCACATGAAAAAACAACTGAAACCAAGACTAGCTCCACTGATCACATACGAACTTATTTAACAAATCGTTTTCAGAATGCCCATCAGTGAGACTATTGTTATCAACGGTGAAGTATTATGCCATTATGCGTGAAGGTACGAAGGTAGCCCGCAAGAGAGTTCACCATGAAACAAGGTTTCATTTCAAGCATCAGCCTGTTGTCTGTAGACCGACATTTTGACGGTAGGTCGAATTTTCTCTGATAAACTGACGTATCATCAGCATTCTGTTTAGTACCGGTAGGCTGATTTTGGCCGGTAGACCGGTACCAGTACCGGTCCGAGAAAAAGTAGACCGGTTCCATCTCTGGTAGATGTAGTTGTGGGTGTGTAAATCTCAATGACATTAGAACATTTTATCCCACAGCTACCCACATCCACACATGCACATGTTCTGAGTGTGGATGTGGGTACAGGGTTGGGTGTGGTTGGATATAGATACAGTTGTGAGTGTGGATCTCAGTGAGTTTAGAACATTACATTTCACACCCGTCCACACCCGCGCTTGAGTTCTCCATTCTCATTGATGTGGAATATCTGTTTTTGCTGGCGCTTTTAGCTTTCGTTCTGAAACAGTTACGCGTGAATCAATGCATATAGCCATTACATGGCACATTCTCTGTCTGGTTCGAAGCTTTTTGCCCTTAGTATTACTTATAGCTAATCACCTTGAAAGGCCTGTTTTTACATGCTGAGATATCGTTGTGACCTGCAGTTTTTTTCCTCACTTTAAGTGGATTGATAAATGCAGAAAGGTTTTCACTGTCGTTCTGACTTCCTGCCGGATAGTTCGAGGTGTGCCATCCATAACCACATTTCATTAGTTGTACATCAACAATTTTATCTCTTTTCTCATGAGACTTCTTATTACGTTATGCGAATAGTTCGATCGCAGTCTCTAGACTGAATTTAGGTGCTGAATAGAATGAGCAAAATAGGATGTAAAGTGCTGTTGTCAGAAATAAACAACATTGTACAATTAAGACCTATAAAACATTTAAAAAACGTAAAATGAATGCAGAAAAGTCAGTCAACTAGACAGCTAAGTGACAAACATATATCTGTGGATTGACTATTTGAAACTCAGCCACAGGTTTTGTTTCCATTTTTTTCTTCATTCTTTCTAATAATATGATCATATTTGCACTATGTATATGGCTTTTAAATTACTTTGATTAACTTCTCAAATCATTCTAATAGTTTACTTGCCACTGTCAAATAATTTCAACAGAAATAGCCGCAGAAACTTGAATAGCGCGTTGTTGATGG